TTTTTTTTTTTTTTTTGGTGGTGCAATGATTAAGCACTCAGCTTCCAACCAGAAAGTTCAGCGATTTGAACCCACAGTGGCTCCTTGGGAGGAAAGACCTGGTAGTCTGCTTCCATAAAGATTACAGCCTGGGAAACCCTATGAGGCAGTTCTGCTGTGTCACACTGGGTCGCTACGAGCTGAAATCGACTCCACAGCACCCAGCAACAACAGGCCCTAGGTGGAAGGGAATACCAAAGTCCTGAATGAGAGTCTGTGCTATTATTCCTGAAACTTCATCGCCTCTTTATTATCTAAACCAGTGGCTGCTTTCCTGCCACTTCCCAACCAAAATTAAAAGAAAAAAATAAATCCCAGCATTTCCCTCCCCATCAGCAGAGGAAAAAGTGATTGTCCACCCCCCCCCACCAGTGAAGGGACCATGATTAGCCTGGGGTTATCATTGCAGGCCCAGAGCTTCTGCTCTCAACTAATCAGGGACATAAATTTGAGCTCCTTGAAACGCCAAGGGGATGGAGGTAGGTTTAGGAAGTCCTTCGCTTTTGCTAGCCTCACTGAACGTGAACAGTGATCCATGAATTCTCCCTCTGCTTCCACCTTGGTCCCTTCCCATGTTCAAATGAATCAATGCCCTCGCCTTGTCTCTTGGGGCTGAACCTGGGGTATTCATATGGTATCAAGAGACAGCTGATCTCTCCATTTTAAGGTGGAAAAAGCCCAGTAAAAGGGGCTTACTCCCTCTCTTCTATGGGATAGCAAGTGATTTGCTTCTGCTGCAAGAACTAAGGGGCCACCTGCTGCAAGACCACCCGGATTGACAACTGAATCAGAACATCATCAAAGCGTTTTGTTTTTTTAATATCCGTGAGTAACTGTGAGGTGCAGCTTGGATTCTAGGGCCTCATATAATAATGCAGGATTAATTCTGTTCTCCAAAGAACAATGCAGAACAGGCAGCTTCCCCCGGAGGATGTTAAAAACAAGCATTGCTCCTCATTCATTAGAAATCTAGCCAGGAGGAAACCAGAAGCTGGCCTTGTTCTCTGAGAGTCCCAGTGATTCCTCTGTGAGGTTCCTGGACACTTTGTGGCTCAGGAACCAGCTCTGTCTAATGTGAAAAGGAAATCGGAAGAAGACCTTCAAACATCCAGACTGTGGTAACTGTAAATGAAGATTACCAGGGATAACAGTATCAGCTTG